ATGAGAGTCTGAAGCCTACGGCCGGCGTCCATGCCTTGGACAGCGCTAGTCAGCCCCCCCCCCCCCTCCCAGATGCAGAATGGCCAAATGGGCAAGAAAGCAAAGCACCTACAGCAGCAAGGGGTTCAGGGCTTGGGGTTTAGCGCTCCAAGACCAATGTCTGGAGTTAAAGCTTTTCGGCGAAGAGTGTCTGTTGTCTTCCACGGTGCCCGCGCTATGCTGCATATATCAGAATTCGGTGTTCAGGGCTTGTGTGGCTTTCCTTTCAACGATTCTCGATTCTCGAACTGGACATGATGGTACATGTCCCAATTAGCCTTCAATCCGAAAATTCCGACGATCTCGAAACTCCAGTCCTTGACCGTTTGAGACATCCCTGTTTTGCAAGGCTCTGCGTCAGAAGCTTATTCTGGGGATTATCAGGGGTAAACATCCGAGCGCCTAAGCTCCAAGCCAAACTCCCGCGAGTGCCTGCCAAGTGCCGCAAGGTAAGCCTCACACATCCCAGCGGCCCAATAAACCAACAAAAACCCTAAATCCCGAACCCTAATCCCTAAACCCTATATCTTAAACCCTAAATCCTAAACCCTAAACCCCAAACCCTAAACCCCTAAACCCTAAACCCCTAAACCCTATTCGTTCGAGGTCACCCACTACAACGTCTTCTTTCGGCTCTGTCCGGGCGGAAACTACAGCGATGGAGCAACTTGACGAGGAAGTGACAAGGTTTGAGCAGTGTATGGCTGTTGCAGCGTCTGAGTTTTCTGGAGAGGCTTGCAGTGTGCACTACGGTTATGGAGTCAGGATTGAGGTATCTCTAGCTTATTGGGCTCATTTGAGAGAGGAGGGATGGGCTTGAGGGTTGCGGCGGTTGCGTCGAGTCCCTAAGCGCTAAAACCCCAAACCCCTAAACCTTAAACCCTAAAGCCCTAAACCCTAAACCCCTAAACCCTAAACCCTAACAGTGCTTCTGTCTGTGAAGATCAACATGGATAGCACCTCCCCCCGGAGGGTCTGCAGGCTTCCTTGTGCTGTTTTTTGTAGGTGGAAGTCTTCCTTTGTACTGATCCGTATATGGGTAGTTCTCTAAACTGGGGTCCCTGTTTGGATCCCCAAATAGTACGGCACCTTATAGAAAGCACCTTAAAAGGGTATCCTAATTTAGGAAAACTTCCCATAGAAAGCCCTTTTTTGGGGAACCTTGAGCCTTGAGCTTCCGCCCCTTGCCGCTTCTGGCCATCTGCTAGGCGAGCCCAGAGAACCCAATACCCCTTAACTAAGGAATATATGGGACTCTCCGAAAAGAAGGGGTGCCTTGTATTGGTGTCCTTATAATAAGGATCCTACTATTTAGGGTGCTATATTAGGGTCCCCTATTTTCGGAAACCCCCATTTGTTAAATCATGAGCCCAGAGAACATACGCTAAATTCCGTTAAATTATGGAGGCCTTAGTATCAAGATTTACGGTATATATTCCTTAATTAAGGGGTATCGGGTTCTCTGGGAGGGGCCTTCAGGTCCTAGAGCACTCAGCGCTCGGCAGAGGAGGTTCCATAGTTGACATATTGTCACACATCTTCTCGAAATCCGTCGAAGAGCCTAAGACTTCAGACCCTAAACCCTAAACCCTAAGAGCCTAAACCCGAAACCCTACATAAATCCTAACAGCCTAAGGCCTCAAACCCATAATGCCGTGGTGCTGAGGTGGAAAGCGAGTACATCGTGCCCGTGGCTCCAGGCGCCCGATGTTCAACACTGAAGTCCTCAAGTTGATAGCCAAGGATCCTACCAGCTAGGGTCCCCTACTGTTGATGGTATACATCCTTAGCATTACCTCTAAACTATGGGAATTATGGTATATTCCTTATTATGGGTAATGCAGGATTTATACCATCAGCCGTATGATATGCGGATTCTTCGGTTCAAAGGGCGCCCTAGTGTAAGGATCCCTATGTTTATGCTGTGTCATGCTGAGACAGCATGGTTTAGGTCTCACTTGAGGAGGTCCTTGCGCCCCCACCCCTGACCGACGAACTAACCGACTACTTAGTCAGGCTACATTTTTACTTGGGTTTTGGGATTGAGGCTTCATGGTCTTTTCTTCTTGCCTCAAGTTGAATCAGGTGATAGACACTAAAACACGTCCTGTCCTGGTGTTTGCTTGGTCTACTACTTGGAGGTTCATGGGTAGTTATATAGTAGCTATACTTATATCCCATATTAGGGGACTTATAGCCCCACTTATAACCCCACCCATGAACCTCCAAGTAGCTACAACTGGCATCGCCCGGCTCAAGTCGCCATGTGCACCCCAGAAACTTGTGCGACCCTTTGTCTCCTATATGTGCCTTGTAAGATCCATTTCTAGTTGGCGCCCGTGGTCTTTGAAGCAGGATAATATACCAGAATATATATATATATATGTATATATATATATATAGACATATGTGTATATCATATACTATAATGTATGCAATCTACTACAGTATAACATGATACAACAGTATCTTATCCAATATAAACATACTTGAACCCTGAACCTTTATCCTTAACCCGAAGCCCGAAACTCCAAAACCGCCTTATCCGCACACTTAAAGCTCAGGCAAAACCCACAGCCCGAGCCCCAGCTCGAAAACCTAGGCTGCCTGAACCGGAAGACTTCTGTTGTGCGATTTCCTCCCCAGGTGAGAACCAGCACGGCCTTGCCTTGAACGCAACGCTACTCGGAGGGCTCAACCAGAAATGCTTATTTTTTAGGGTTTGGGGGATTTGGGGTTTAGGGTTTGGGTAGTACACATATGTAGGCCACCACATACGTAGTCATTGCTGTGGTCAGCGCCTGCTACGCTAAATCTTTGACCTAGGACCCAACGCAGTTTGCGGAGCGAAAGCTAGGTTCGCACCCTTATTATTATGGGGTCACTCAGGAACCTAGAAAGCGCTTAGGCTTTCGGGTGTAGGGCTCAGGCTCCTGAAGCCCTTGGACCCGGGAGTTAGGCTTCGAGGCTCACTGCAAGGCATGCAGCCCAGAGGCTTCGAGCTGAGGTTTAGGGGCTTAGGGGTTTAGGTGTTTAGGGTTTAGGAGTTTAGGGGTTTAGGGTTTAGGGTCTTACAGCCCTTAGAAGTAAAAAAAAGGCGTGCAAAGGCCTCCAAAACCCTGGCCAAAGAGCCGGGTAACACCAGCCCTTCTAGAAAGGTTTCGGAACCCTTGCAGGAACCCTTAAAGCCCTTAAAGGAACCCTAAACCCTACTAGACCCTTACCTTTTTCTCTTACAGGAACCCCTTAAAGGAACCCTTACAGGAACCTTTAAAGCCCTTAAATTAAAGGAACCCTAGCCCTAAACCCTAGACCCGTAGCTTTTTTCTCTTCCAGGAACCCCTTAAAGGAACCCTCAAAGGCCTTAAAGGAACCCTAAACCCTATAGACCTTACCTTTTTCTTTTCCAGGAACCCCTCAAATCAACCCTCAAAGCCCTTTAAAGGAACCCTAAACCCTATAGACCCTTCCCTTTTGCTCTTCCAGGAACCCCTCAACCCTTAAAGCCCTTAAAGGCACCCTAGCCTAAACCTTAATTCCTTACATTTTTTTCTTACAGGAACCCTAAACCCTAGTAGACCCTTCCCCTTTTTCTCTTCCGGGAACCCCTTAAAGGAACCTCTGTGGCCTTTTCTTCCGTCGAGGCTCCACTTCCGGGAGCCGGTGGTTGGCGCCGTGCCCCAGCCCATCGTTGCAGCTCCTGGGCTTCAAAGCTTGGCCGGGGTAGGGTTTAGGGTTTAGGGGTTTTTGGGGGAAGCTTGGGGATGGTGTAGGGTTTCGGGTTTAGGGGTTTTTGGGGGCCTTGGGGTTAGCGGTTAGTGTAGGGTTTAGGGTTTACGGTTTTTAGGGGGCTTGGGGTGGTTTTGGGGGTTTTAAATTTTAGGCTCCTAAACCCTAAACCCTAAACCGCTACTGTGCCAGGGTTCCCCTCTAAGCCGCACGCCTAAATCGATGCCGCCCTCCAACTCCAAATGTTCAGTTCTGAGGTTCCGCCTCTTTGATTCGCGGTGGATACAAATTATGATAGAAATCCTTAGCATATTACCTGAAGGACCCTAAACCTATGGGAATTATGGTATATTCCCTCTTATGGATTACCCATAATATAAGGGATAGACCATATAATTCCCATACTATTCCTTGTATTATGCGTAATCCATAACATAAGAAATATAGACCATAATTTCCATAGTTCAGGGTCCGTAAGGTAATGCTAAAGCTAAAGATTTCTATCATCAACCGTACTTTTGCTCTGCTCTAGGGGCCCTTGGGCCTTTGAGCCATCGGGGCATTGGGGTCCCGGGCTTTAGGCGGTGAGTCTGCCTTCCGATATAGTTTAGGGTTTGGGGTTTAGGGACCCTTGGGGATTATAGTTTAGGGTTTAGGGTTTAGGGACCCTTGGGGGGAGGGGGGAGGGGGCCTTAATACCAGTAATAAGGACCTCATAAAGGAAGTCTAGTCACCTACTTCCTTTAAGGGTCCCTAGGCTTCCAGCCTTGAAGTCTTCAGATGGGTACTTCTCTAAATTAGGCTCCCTTTTTCTGGGTACCCAATACGGCACGGCACTCCCTTATTTATTAACCCAGATTAGGGGACTTATAACCCCACTTATAATGGTTAGGATATGGGTAGTTCTCTAAATTAGGTTCCCTTTTTGGGCACCCAATATGGCACGGCACCCTAATAAAAGGACCCTAAACGGGACCCTAATTTAGAAAAAACGATCCCGATGCATCAGCATGCAGGAGCATTTAAGCTTTTCAGGGTTTGGCGTTTGCCGTCCAATGGCACTAATAGCTTCGAGCGGTTGCCGGATAAATAGCTTCTTCGGATACAAAGGTAGAAGCACCAGGAAGTGCAGACCCCTAGTATGTTAAACCAGGCTGCGCAACAGGTTTGAGGCCAACAGCCACCGAAATCCGCAGCAGCTACGGCCCAAGAACTGATTTCCGGCCGTTTCCATGCTGCGCGTCTGGAGCACGTCAGGAGAAGAGTTCCCTGTGCACAGAGGGGAGTTGCAGGATGTGGCGGGCCTGAAGCTCCGATTGCGTGCGCAGTATGGGTTCCTTGAGAGAGATCCCGTTTCAAAAAGGCCACCCTTTTTTTTGTGTGATATATTTCAAAACGGTTCCGATGTTTTGAGGTGTGGGGTTCGGGATTTCAGGCATCACCTGCACCGAAGGTTCCCCTTCTGCCTCCAGCAGCTGCTTCACGGGAGCCTCCTATTGGAGAATGCCTCCGAGCTCCCTTTCTTCGCCGACCTTCAGCTGGTTCTCCTGGCGATCTCCGCGGGAAGCCGTGAAGCGGTGCAGGAGCTCGTTGCCTACGCGGCCTTGAAGGAACCGTCGAAAAGCCGAAAAGCCTCTAAACCCGAAGCCCTAAACCCGAAACCCTAAACCCGAAGACGAAATCTTCAACCTACACAGACCATGAAAGCAAGCCTGCACCCTCAGCCCCAAACCTCAAAACCCTAAACCCCGAAAGCCTCACCNNCTTGCTTTGGCCAAGCTCCCATGAAGGGCAATGTGAGAGTTGCCCGGCTTCTGCTGGAGGCAGGCGCAGACAAGGACTCCTTGCGGTCGGGGCTTAGGGTTCAGGGCAGGTCTAGAAATCTTGCACCCTACCTTCAAGGAGGTAACCTCCCAGGCCTCATCTTTCTACCCTAAACCCAAAACCCTAA